CTTCGTAAAAACCACGTAAGTAGGATTTACGTACAAATCTGTTCCTAAGAACCGTTCGTGAATGAGGCCCATTGTCAGTAATGTCTTCTCTCGTTTTTCAGGGACAGTGTTTTTTTACATTATTATTAGTTATGTGTTCTCGTTTACTGTATTGTCTAGATTCTAGATTGGACGTGTTTCCTTTCAAGTCAAATCTCAACACAAAAACAATCTAACCCATGAATAGTAATCTGACGTGGTAATAGTCACTGATTTACAAAACTGGTTATTCTAGTATTGGAAAAACCAGAGGTGTGGACTCGAGTCATGTGACTTGGACTCGAGTCAGACTCGAGTCATGATTTTGATGACTTTAGACTCGACTTGACCAAATATAAAAAGACTTGCAACTCGACTTGGACTTTAACATCAATGACTCTGACTTTCACTTGGACTTGCGCCAATTGACTTGTAAAGACTTGCGTAACCCGGGCCATTTTTACCTTTCTCCGCATCTTTCTTTCTATCTATGCCGTCTCTGAAGAAACAAAGCCTCGCGGTAGTTGTAGCGCTCGCGCGAGAGTTCGAACGTGAGTTCCCCTCAGTTCGCGCAGCAACACTTCCCTAAACAAGCGGACTGCATTCACCGGTGGGTGTGTTGTCTAGGGGAGCTGGAAATGAGCGAGCTGCAGGTATTTATCGCGACCTAACGTCATATTTTGTTCTACAAACCGTAATTGATATGCTTTCACTACAGGCGCCTCATACAATTGAATCGACGCAGTTGTCACACTGTGTGCCGTGTTTTAAAGAGGAACTGGTGAGTCAAACTAGCGCTAGCCTGCGCTGCTCTGTTGGCTCTTTCTTATATTTTTCTGTGTGGGCGCCGAGGCCTATTATTATGAGTATGTTTTTGCTGTGCTCCCTCCTGCTAAAGTTTGCATACATTAGATAGTTGTTTTGATTATGTGCACTAAGCTAGATTAATATTTGCACTATTGTTTATGGTGCATTGATATGAGAATCAGTGCTTTGACTGATTGAATTAATTTATATGAGACATTTTATTATGTAATGATATATTGGTAATTATGAGATATTGCTAATGCTGGTCCAGTTGATGGCGAGCTGCCCCAGGTCCAAAGCCTAGACCCCTCATACTACCCCTATTCTACAGTAGGACATTTGGAACAATAACCACTACGGACATTAAACTGATTATATAGATACAGGTCCTAGCCCAATACTCATATTCATATATGCTGCACTTGCTACTTCCCATTAAAAACCCCAAAGATAAAAAGTATGTTGACACGGACTGCTCTGATTTTATGTGTGGTCTGTGCATGTGTAACTGAGCCTGCATCTGGCACAACATCCAATTAGATCACGTAGATAGTTTTGATTTACCAGCAGCCAACGACATGGAACAAACTGTTAGTCCATGGGTCAGAGACCAACGAGAATGCATCAGCAAAATGATTCCTAACATTATTTTGTTTGCCTACAAAAGTACGTGGAGACCAACAAGAAACAAATCGCGGTCAAAAAGACTCGAGAGGACTCGAAAGTCAAACCGTAGGACTTGGGACTGACTTGAGATTTGTTGGCCTTTGACTTGGACTCGACTCGGGACTTGCCTGTCTTGACTCGTGACTTGACTCGGGACTTGAGGGCAATGAATTGAGACTGACTCGTGACTTGCTAAACAATGACTTTGTCCCACCTCTGGGAAAAACCATTGTGTCTTTTATCACTAGTACAGTAAGAGTCAGTCCTATGTGTGTATCACTTTGGAATTCGGAGATGATTCAATAAAAGTATCATCCTTGGCAACTCTCCCGCTCTTCTCTTTTGTCCATGAATCCAAAGACATTCTTGTGAGACACTCTTGTCCTTCTTCACTTCACAGAGCTCTAAGTGACACACTGTGAAATATCTGCTGCCAGAGAGGTGGCGGGTGTGACTGCAGGCGGGACGACCTCTGGACACCATCTCAGTGTCCCGGACGAACGAGGAGCTTCACCTGTCTGCAATAAAAATAACTCTCAGCTGGATTTATGGTTCCTTCATTCTTTTTATGTGTTGTACATTGTCTATACTTTACACAGAGGCGGTTTACAATGGCTTTAGTCTGGCTTTGATGGAGCCGTGACCGTAGCTGTGGAAGTACTGGCAATAAAATCCTCCTTCATGATGCCTTTAATAGATACTAAATAGCACTGCAGTAAACAGGATTCTTAATAGATGTTTTGTAAATGTCTGTTTTTATTTGTGTAGTAGCAGTGGTAGTTGGAGGGGGCTGAAAGAGGTCCCAGTTGTAGAAGCAGCACTGATAACTCTTGTAGTAATAGTAGTAGTAGTAAGAGTACATCTGTAACATGTTAGTGTCATATGAACCAGCTGGGACTCTGAGGAGCACAGGGACTGGCCTCGAGGCAGGATTTCAGATTCACGCAGATACAATCTAGAACATCCATCCATCCATTTTCTTTCCCTTAATCCATTTCTGGGTCGGGGGGGTGGTAATCAGAGCTGCACCCAGTACACATAGCACCAGCCCCTCACTGATCCTCCTGCAGGGGGTGAGTCCACAGGAGCTGAGATCTTTCAGTGGGGGCTTCAGGCAAAGTGGGGTTAAGTGTCTTGCCCAAGGACACAACGACAGCAGACATCAGTGGGAGTCGGTGTCGAGGTGGGAAATGAACCCTCGACCTTCAGGCCTTAAGGCCAATGCTCTACCAATTGAGCTACTGTCGCCCCAATCTAGAACAGTCTTCCTAAAAATGTGAGACTGGCTTTTACTCTGACCATGTTCAAATCCATGTTCTCTTTAGCTGTGTCTATAACTGAAGGATGTTGCCTTGTGTATGAACTGTGATTTATGAATACACTTGGCTTTCCTTATAGTAGTAGTAGTAGTAGTAGTAGTAGTAGTAGTATGAAAAAATTAGATTAAAATTGATCCGTTTTACAAAAGCAAAGTGTGGACATAATGCAAAACTAAAAATAACTGTGGGGTAAAAGTTTGTCTAACATTTTCAGGAAGATTGTTTTAGATTTTGCTTCATGATGGTTAATATATACTGTAAATCCACTCCAACCTTAATGCCTAAACCTGCTGCTTTACTTATAGCACATTTTATGACACCCAAAGATGCTTCACATGGTATCATTCTATCACGAAGGCCAGTCCCTGTGCTGCTCAGAGTCCCAGCAGGAGGCCAGTCCCTGTGCTCCTCAGAGTCCCAGCAGGAGGCCAGTCCCTGTGCTCCTCAGAGTCCCAGCAGGAGGCCAGTCCCTGTGCTCCTCAGAGTCCCAGCAGGAGGCCATTCCCTGTGCTCCTCAGAGACCCATATTCACTAACAGTCACTGAAGTCATTCTCGTGATAGGCCTGCTGTGATGTTGCTGCTGTCTTGCATCTTGTTTATGAAATAATAAAAAGTCAGTTCTTCAGAAAGCAGTGTTGGAAAGAAAGCCTTTGAATTAGGGCTTTGTAGAAAATCGAAAGAATGAACAATAGTAATACTCTACTTTTCTCAATTTGTAATCAACGTGTTCTTTAAAACTGAAAGACACCAATCATGAGGCTGAAGAGGAGGACTTGTTGTTCTTTCTCCTAAACTCATTGTTTTGGAGAAAAAAAGCAGAGCCAGGGACAGACAGCATGTGTTTTTACTTGTTACTCTCCTCATTCCCATCTCACAATGAGCCACAAATTAAATATCAACTGTTTGGTTTGATACCAAATGTATTTAAATGTGTCTTCTCCTCTGTGCTCGAGTATGTAACAAATTAAAACATACAATTTATATGACTTCACCAATCAGGATAAAAATTTCCCCCCGATGGTCCAGCCCTGTACAGAAAATATGTGTATGTGTGTTTTTGTTTTTATATTGTGTGTGTGTGTGTGTGTCTCATACCCAATTTTAGGGTAATGTATAAGTTCTACACAGTATCTTATATCATGTATTCATGTGTATTCTGTGTAGTATTGTGTGTTAAATGGGTGAGAGGGGGTTGGGTTAAAATAGCCGTCTGCTTTATGCAACCCCTTTTCATACCTGTATTAGGGAGAAAATATGGGAATTTGTGTTCTGCAGATTTGAAATAAGTCAAACTAAAACTAACATGTGTGCTTACAGAATACTGAAGTTTCTAACATAAGCCGTTACATTCAGTATGTCCAAACTAAGGCCCAAGGGCCGATTGCGGCCCTCTGTGTTATGTCATGTGGTCCTCTGCCTTAATGCTAACCCAAATTAACCATTAAGATCACAATAGTATCTTAATAATATTATTTTCAGGTTGTTACTTTATTGTTATTTTCATTGTTATTTTTTGTGGAATACTATGCCAGCTACTGTGACAACGCAATTTTCCTTGTGGATCAATAAAGCCTGCATAAACACAAGTCAACTTCAGCTCCACCATTGTAGACATGCTCTACCTCGCTCAGACCCTTTGGAACTCAGTCGTTAATTTTATGTATGTATAGCTAGTTTCAGAATTCCATATATGGCGCCAATGTAGCAGCGAGATCATCAACACTAGTAAACTACTGTCAAATGTGAATCGATTTGGACTTTTTTATCTGTGTTGTCAGCCCTTGGACAGGTCTGGTCAACTGCAATGGCCGCATTACTAAAAAGTTTGGACACGCCTGCGTTACATGGTCAGTTCAAGGTCCTGTAATCTGAATACTTGTAAAATATTCACAAAACTTCCATGTTTTATTGGTTACATTTGTGTGAGAATGTGTCATTGTTCCTTTCAAAACGACAACCACAGCTGTCCTGCATTTTAGAGTCATGTGATCAACCATAATCAATCATTCATGTGTCTCTTTGCACACTGTTTTTGTATTGATTGAAGATTGCTATATATACAGCGATACACTACTGCCCTCGTGTGGACACAAAGGGGAGGACAACATACACAATAAATACACATCACGACCACTTACAGCTGAACATAATCGGAAATTCACTCATTGTTTGTTAGATTTGTGGTGAAAATGTCAAATGCAAAACTCACTGTCACAGCTCTCTACATGTGAGTGGTCATACATGATTCATAAAGACAAAAGACAGGTGTGATGTCGCATGTATAGAGGGAGAGATGCCCCTGGTTCAGACGACAGCCTCGTGCACGCCACACAGAGACAAGTCCTCATGTTAAATTGATACGATTTAATTATCATGCACAGTGCAGATTCGTGTTGATGCCATTAGTGCTCTGTCTGCAGCAGTGAAGTGAATAAATAATGTATATCCAGGAAACTGTGGTAACATCTAAATGTACCTTCTAGTAGTAGTAGAATTAGTAGTAGTAGTAGCAGTAGTAGTAGTTTAGTAAGCAGTTGTAGATTTAGTAGTAGTAGTGGTAGTATGGTCTGAATGTAATGTGTGAGTGAATGGATGGGGTTGGTTGGGGCTTTGATGGTCCAGTGTGTGTTTGGCGACGCGTTTCGGTCTCATCCTGTGTAAAAAATCAAAATACATCTCATCTCTGGACATTGTAAAGCAGACATTGATCTGTAAAATGCGCTATATCAGGGTGCTTACGCAGGTCTTTAAAGTCTTAATAAGTACACAGTAAATTCAGCAGTGTTAAATGTACAGTGTAAAAGTTCATTAACTCTTTCAGTTCAATTAACAGCGGATAGAGTTAAAAGCCCATCAGTGTCAGAGTAACTTCAAGTTGTTAAACAGCCTGGTGTTAGGAGAACTCTGGGAAGCCACTCCCCCTTTTCAAACTTCTCAGAACGCAGCACAAGGACACGGCGCCATTTTTCGCAGCAACTCTCGGAGGTAAGTTTGTCCTGAAATCTCTCATTTAACTGATTGTAATTGCATTGATAGAAGTTAAGCTTTGGTTTATTTTCCCAATTTGAATGTGAAACCTGTCCTATGGGTAGATGACAATTTTAGCTAATTTTGGTTAGCATTGCCTCTACATGTTAACCCGCGCAAATATTTTAGTGGCTAGCAATAGTTTTAGGGATAGTTGCTGTTTAAATGTAAATTCTGACACGTTTTAATTGTGTAGTCAAGTCATTTACTGTGGAAAATTTACGGTTCTACGTGTGTTTGTTTCTGGCGGGACATTGTTAGCTTTTCTATTAGCGTAGCTCTGAGCTAACTACTTCTTGCCCTTGTCAAATCCAACATCCACAAGAAGTGGTTTAGATCTGCTCATGTTTAACTAACGGGAGTGCTCCCTGAGTCGGACACTTTCTGGTGCCTATTATCCTGAGTCGGACACCCCCACCTTTTTGTTTAACTCGTCCTTACTTTCCGCTGTTAGCATTAGCGCTCGTGGCGCTAATGCTAACAGCGGTGGGTTTGGTGGGTACTTTCTACACATGTGTATCTTCCTCCGTGGTAAGTTTTGTCTGTTTATATTAAGATTTCATAGAGTAATCCGCGTTTAAAGACAGTTTTGATGCTACTACACGCTCGGACGACTTATGGGCTCGACACACGGGAGGCGACAAATGAGAGCGATCAGCGAAACTCAACGCTGTCGCTCAGATAACATGACAGACGGGGCGCGATGCGGCTTGACGACAGCGTCGAAAAGTTGAGCCGATTTCAACTTTCTGGGATCGCGTCGCTGACCTGCGCGTGCACGATACATGCACGAGCAGGAGGATTTCACACGCACGTTTTTCGCCCGTCGCTGAGCAGGAGGCTCGCTAGCGATTGACGCTATGTCGCGCACGTCCCATTGAAATGAATGGAGGCGATGCGATGTCGCCTCCCGTGTGTCAAGCCCATTAGGCGACAGTCTGTTGTTAGCTTTGGTTTGAAAATAGTTCTGGAAAATCTTCAGAACCGCCGCAGTCCGCATTACGTCATGTTAGCTTCAACTACACAGGTCATTCGGATTTAAAATACTGTCTGACGCTTTCTAGAAGTAAAGTTATATTTGATGTGAAATGATGGATCTAAATTGATCCGTTTAAATATTAATATAACTTATTTTTCTCAACGTCAAATGATTGTTTGTTTATGAGCAAAAATGCATTGCCCCATTTTCCATTGTAACAATTATTATTGAGGAGATATGGACAGAAAGGTTAGTAGCACACAGGCTCCAGCTCGTGATGTAAGAAAACATAACATTGACACATGTATCTTGTATTACTTTGAGTGTAAGTAAGTTTTAGTGAAGCAATATTACCGATTTTGTATTTAAGTGGATAAAAAAAACTCTGCTACTATAATACTTTCACCTCTGTTGAATTAACAATAATAGGACATGAACAAAACAAGATCCTACACTGCCTTACTTGCATTGTCGAATGTATTTACAAATTTTACATGTTTAAAGCCATTCAAGTAGGACAGCATGCAGGCTCCTTTCTTGTTTTTGAATGGAAATACAATAATAGACACTCATTGCCTACCAGCCTATCTCAGAACAGGTACTCTCATATTGCCAGCAGTTTCTGATGGGTTTATAGATTTGTCAAGACTCAGAATATTGTTTACCATGACTGGAATCCAAAACCAGATTCTGAAAGAATGGACTGTACTTCAGCAGCAAAAATAATTTTGTTTCTAGCTTGTTTCGTTCCCCAGTAATCCCCAGTTGAGTAGAGGGAAGTTTTACTGAAATCACCAAAAAGCTGAAAAACGAGGGACAATAAGTGCATCTAGCTGTTTTTAAACAATCCAGAGCGCTGCTGCCACCTGTTGGCTCGATTAAAAAATGCTCTCAAGCGAATCCCCATACATATTAGATATAATAGACATCTGGGAACATGAAATTGGAGAAACGCAATTGCCGTATTAGTGCGTCAATGGCACATAACAAGTTAACCAACAGCTGTCAGGTGAAATTCTGCCACTGTGTGATCAATAAAGTGCTAACTTCTCTTTCTCCTCCTTCAGGACTGGAGTCTCAGACATGGCCTTAGTAAGAACAGACATGACACATGTGCATGTTCCTGAAGAACCACGATCATCACAGCTGCAGAAGGTGAGAAAAATTATAAGTGCATCCAGACACAAACTAATAGATGGTTTCAGCGGAGGAGCAAAGACCTGCTGTGTCCATGCCCCTCACAGGGAATTTACACAGTAGGAGTTAACAGCACGTAAGGGTTGACTGCGTGTAATTTTTTTTGCAGTATCTACACTGGTCCACGGCTTCTGATGCTGTCTAGTGTAGTCTATGGAGCACTGTAGAGGACAGTACAGAGGACTGATGAGAGAATCACAGTAAAACCTGCTGCTCCTCCTGCTAATGTTTATATACAAGTCATGTGTGTGTGTAGATGCGATCTAGAGCCAAGGACCGCTAGAAAAATCATGTTTAACATGAGATTTCAATGGGAGACGCGTTGCTGCGCGCACAAAATTAGAAATCAATGGGACTAACATGTCACTAATATATTTTGGTGCGAGGCCATGGAGAGACTTGTACACAAGCAGAGCTGTTTTAAAGTCTATTCTCTGAGCCACAGGAAGCCAGTGCAGGGACCTGAGGACTGGACTAATGTGGTCGTTTTATACTCTAGTGGCCATGACAACTCTCTGGACAAACCTGTTGGACTGCGCTTCTCGTAAATTCTGCCCTATCATCAAATAATGGAGCGGGGAGTTGTTTCTATGAGAAAATAAACATCACACCTGGCTCAAATATCTAAAACCTTTGCACAGGTGCTCAGTGTAGGTGTGGAAATGAACGAGATTTCCAAGTTCATCTTGTGTGTCTTATCAAGAAGCATATACAATTATTACGATATTAAGCAATTTCCTGGTTTGTGACTTCTTATTCACAATGGGAATAAAAAGAATTATGATTCTTATAATGCACTAGACAAATGTCCCTCCATAGTTGGCTTTCATCAAAACCTCTGATATATGACTAAATTCACTGTCAAATCCCTGTCCATCATTAAGTTGCATCATGGGAAACATCTTCCAACTCCTGTGACACTAATGATAATGCAACAGCTGCTTTCTGGACACTCAAAGACGCTTCACATTCACTTCATATACAGTGGTGGAACTGTAGCCACAGCTGACCTAGGACAGACTGACTGAAGCGAGGCAACCAGTACATGCCTCACACCATCATCATCAATAATTTACGCACACACACACACACACACACACACACACACACACACACACACACACACACACACACACACACACACACACACACACAATACAAGAACCAATGTTGCTTGAGTCTGTTGCCTAACAAATTGTGTGTCCATTGGTCTCCCATCACAGTACTACTCAGGCTCTGCCCCACTTAGCCTATGAGGTATGACATAATCAGGTATCGCCACATGTTGTAAATTTCTCCTATGTGAGATAAATAAAGCAAATCTTATCGTAGTCCACATATGAACTATGTCTCTGGGCCCATTTCACTTTCACATTGTTTTTAGTATCACCAGTTTGTGGAGAAACCACACTAGTTTGTTTTCTCAGAAATACCTAAGTACTGGATTACTTGCCCGACAATGTGCACTGATACTTTGAATAAACTCTATTTGTGCAAAGAGAGAGTAAGTGCAGGAAGAGAAGCGTGGAGAGAAGACTCTCTCTGAGCTGCAGAACAGAACAACACCTTCAGCTAAAGCAGATGCCTTAGATGTAGTTTATATTTTCATGGTTTTTATTTCATGTTTTCATATATTCTTAATTAGATGTGTTATAAAGTGTGAGTACTTGGTTGTGTACTTGACTGCACTTTACTTTCTGTCTCCAGGGATCAATAAAGTTATATCTACTGTTTACATATAAACATTGAATAAATATTACAATAAAGTACTTTTAAAAAATGTTTACACTTCTCCACAGAGATGACGACTGGCGAGTCAAACTCAAGCTATTTTTAGACAATTGCGACTGGACTTGGACTCGTCCCTGTCAGGGCTGCTCCTCCAGCAGCCCCTCCCTCCCCTGATACTCCAGGAGTCTCTGCCTCATCCCCCTCCCCTACCTGTTCCCTGAGCAGGGACAGGTGTGTTGGAGCTGCCTCGGACTCTGCCCAGCTGCCTCCACTCTTCAATCAAGCGGATACAAGTACCTCTGAAGCCAGCTCCTCAGTGCCAGATCGTAATCTCAGTTGCAGTGCGTCAGAGTATCACAAATATACTCTGTGAAGTTATATTTTTACTTACCTGATCTTTTTTCGTTTTTGCTTGGTTCCCACCTGTGCCTTGTTTTATTTTTGTATTTTGCTCGAGTAAAGATTTTGTTTCACCACCCTCGTCTGCATCTGGGTTCTTTGCCACACGTTACAGTCCCTTAACACTCAGACTTCACTCAAAACTCGTGAGTCTCTATGGTATTGAATTTCCAAATAAAATGTCTTGGGTCACAGTGACACTTGGCCTCTCACCTTCAAGTGTTTGAGCAGTGTCCAAAATGTGAACCGGAGAACCTCACTGTTTGTCCTGACAACATCTCAGGAGGTCTCAGGGTCAAGATTTTAGAACATTTATATCAGCTGCAGATTATCTGATTTCATTTGATGTTTTAATGTAATCTATAAGTGATTTTCAAATTGCATTGCGCCATAATTTGAATCTGATTTAAACTATTAGACTTGATGTTTGTCAGGGTGACTCTAATGCAATGACAGTGCAATGACTTTCAATAAAATGTTGTTGATATTTATTCAAATGCAATAATCAACAGCTGTAATTGAGTGAATACAATACAAAATTGGTGGAATAATTCTGAATATTAGGCGTAAGCAAAAGTAAGAATACATTTAAGTTAACATACTGTAAATCTACCCGTCCCTCAGGGAATGTCATAGTGTCATGCATATTACAGCAGAACAGAGAAATAAGAGCGAACATATCAAAAAGGATTATTTAAGAAAATAATAAAATAATAACATGAGATAAACTGTAGACTTTGTCAGTTGTGTAGTATTTAAACTGCCATTAGGTGTACAGGCAGCAGTAGTAGCAGCAGCGGCAGTAACGATAGCAGTAGTAGGAGCAATAACAGCAGCAGCAGTAGTAGCCGTAGCAGTAATGATTGCAGCAGTAGCAGTGGTATTAGTAGACGCAGTTGTGTTAGTAGCAGCGGCAGTAACGATAGCAGTAGTGGCAGTAGTATTAGTAGCAGCAGCTGTATTCGTGGCATTAGTTATTACTGCTACTAATGCAGTAGTATTAGTAGTAGTAGCAGCAGTAGCGTTAACAGTGGTATTAGTAGAAGCAGTTGAATTAGTAGCAGTAGTATTAAAAGCAGTAGTATTAGTAGCAGCAGTAGCGGCAACAGTAGTATAAATAGCAGTAGCAGCAGTAGCAGTAGCAGTAACAGTAGTATTAGTAGAATCAGCTGTATTAGTAGCAGTAGTATTAAAAGCAATAGCAGTAGTATTAGTAGCAGTAGCAGTAGTAGCAGTAGCAGTAACAGTAGTATTAGTAGAAGCAGCTGTATTAGTAGCATTAGTTAATACAACTGCAACTAATGCAGTAGTATTAGTAGCAGTAGCAGCAGGAGTAGTAGCAGTAGCGGTAAGAGGAGTATTAGTAGCAGCAGTAGTAGTAGCAGAAGCAGTAGCAGTAGTATTAGTAGCAGTAACAGCAGGAGTTTTAGCAGTAGCTGTAACAGTAGTATTAGCAGTAGCAGTAACAGTAGTATTAATAGCAGCAGTAGCAGCAGCAGTAGTAGTATCAGTAGCAGTAACAGTAGTATTAGTAGAAGCAGTTGTATTAAAAGCAGTAGCAGCAGCAGTAGTAGCCGTAGCAGTAATGATAGCAGCTGTAGCAGTGGTATTAGTAGACGCAGTTGTATTAAAAGCATTAGTATTAGTAGCAGTAGCAGTTACAGTAGTAGTAGCAGTAGCAGCTGTATTAGTTGCATTAGTTATTACAACTGCTACTAATGCAGTAGTATTAGTAGCAGTAGCAGCTGGAGTAGTAGCAGTAACAGGAGTATTAGTAGCAGGAGTAGTAGCAGTAGCAGCAGGAGTAGTAGCAGTAGCGGTAACAGTAGTATTAATAGCAGTAGCAGTATGAGTAGCAGTAACAGTAGTATTAGTAGAAGCAGTTGTATTAAAAGCAGGAGCAGTAGCAGCAGCAGTAGTAGCAGTAATGATAGCAGCAGTAGCAGTGGTATTAGTAGACGCAGTTGTGTTAGTAGCAGCGGCAGTAACGATAGGAGTAGTGGCAGTAGTATTAGTAGCATTAGCAGCAGTAGCGGTAACAGTAGTATTAATAGCAGTAGCAGCAGTAGTAGTAGCAGTAACAGTAGTATTAGTTGAATTAGTAGCAGTAGTATTAGTAGCAGCAGTAGCAGTTACAGTAGTAGTAGCAGTAGCAGCTGTATTAGTAGCATTAGTTATTACAACTGCTACTAATGCAGTAGTATTAGTAGCAGTAGCAGCAGGAGTAGTAGCAGTAGCGGTAACAGTAGTATCAGAAGCAGCAGTAGTAGTAGCAGTAGAAGTAACAGTAGTATTAATAGCAGTAGCAGTAACAGTAGTATTAGTAGAAGCAGTTGTATTAAAAGCAGTAGCAGCAGCAGTAGTAACCGTAGTATTAGTAGCAGTAACAGGAGTATTAGTAGCAGCAGGAGTAGTAGCAGTAGCAGCTGTATTAGTAGCAGGAGTAGTAGCAGTAGCGGTAACAGTAGTATTAGTAGCAGCAGTAGTAGTAGCAGTAGCAGTAACAATAGTATTAGTAGAAGCAGTTGTATTAAAAGCAGTAGTATTAGTAGCAGTAGCAGCAGCAGTAGTAGCCGTAGCAGTAATGATAGCAGCAATAGCAGTGGTATTAGTAGACGCAGTTGTGTTAGTAGAAGCGGCAGTAACGATAGGAGTAGTGGCAGTAGTATTAGTAGCATTAGCAGCAGTATTAGTAGCAGTAGCAGCAGGAGTAGTAGCAGTAGCGGTAACAGTAGTATCAGAAGCAGCAGTAGTAGTAGCAGTAGAAGTAACAGTAGTATTAATAGCAGTAGCAGTAGGAGTAGCAGTAACAGTAGTATTAGTAGAAGCAGTTGTATTAAAAGCAGTAGCAGCAGCAGTAGTAGCCGTAGTATTAGTAGCAGTAACAGGAGTATTAGTAGCAGCAGGAGTAGTAGCAGTAGCAGCTGTATTAGTAGCAGGAGTAGTAGCAGTAACGGTAACAGTAGTATTAGTAGCAGCAGCAGTAGTAGTAGCAGTAGCAGTAACAATAGTATTAGTAGAAGCAGTTGTATTAAAAGCAGTAGCAGTAGTATTAGTAGCAGTAGCAGCAGTAGTAGCCGTAGCAGTAATGATAGCAGCAATAGCAGTGGTATTAGTAGACGCAGTTGTGTTAGTAGCAGCGGCAGTAACGATAGGAGTAGTGGCAGTAGTATTAGTAGCATTAGCAGCAGTAGTAGTAGCAGTAGCGGTAACAGTAGTATTAATAGCAGTAGCAGCAGTAGTAGTAGCAGTAACAGTAGTATTAGTAGAAGCAGTTGTATTAAAAGCAGTAGCAGCAGCAGTAGTATTAGTAGCAGTAGCAGTTACAGTAATAGTAGCAGTAGCAGCTGTATTAGTTGCATTAGTTATTACAACTGCTACTAATGCAGTAGTATTAGTAGCAGTAGCAGCAGCAGTAGTAGCAGTAGCGGTAACAGGAGTATTAGTAGCAGTAGCAGCAGTAGTAGTAGCAGTAGCAGTAACAGTAGTATTAGTAGAAGCAGTTGAATTAGTAGCAGTTGTATTAAAAGCAGTAGCAGTAGCAGTAGCAGTAACAGTAGTATTAATAGCAGTAGCAGCAGTAGTAGCAGTAGCAGTAACAGTAGTATTAGTAGAAGCAGTTGTATTAAAAGCAGCAGCAGTAGTATTAGTAGCAGCAGTTGAATTAGTAGCAGTAGTATTAAAAGCAGTAGCAGCAGCAGTAGCAGCAGTAGTAGTAGCAGTAACAGTAGTATTAGAAACAGTTGAATTAGTAGCAGTAGTAGCAATAGCAGTAGTATTAGTAGCAGTAGCAGCAGTAGTAGTAGCAGTAGCAGTAACAGTAGTATTAGAAGTAGTTGAATTAGTAGCAGTAGTATTAAAAGCAGCAGTAGTAGCAGTAGCAGTAGCAGAACCAGTAGCAGTAGTATTAGTAGAAGTAGCAGCAGTAGTAGTAGCAGTAACAGTAGTATTAGAAGCAGTTGAATTAGTAGCAGTAGTATTAAAAGCAGTAGCAGTAGTATTAGTAGAAGAAGCAGCAGTAGTAGCAGTAGTATTAGTAGCAGTAGCAGCAGTAGTAGTAGCAGTAGCAGTAACAGTAGTATTAGTAATAGTAGTAGCAGGACTTCTTGTTGTCAATTCCATTGTTGTTGGAGCCACGATTCTCGCCTCTGAAACATTAAACCGGAATCTCCCGACATTTCCCGCGTCATCAACAGCCACTATTTCCACCGCGGGGGAGCAGCAGAAATCGTTGTAAGACAAAACATTTTTATTTACTGGTGTGCTGGTGAACGTCAGGATCCCATTGCCCTCTCGGACAAAAATCCGGTTCAAAACTGTGTCGTCGGTCACAAGAATTGAGAGCTGATAGGTGGAGGTGCAAGTGTCTGTGCAGTTCGGATCAGGAGATAGCCGAGAAAAAACCGGAGCGTGGATATCGGTCACCTAAGAGAAATTGTACAATATTATAATAATGCATCTGTTTTATACAGCACTTTTCAGGACACTCAAAGACGCCTCACATGTCATTGTTCATTGACTCCAAACATGGTGGTGTTAAACTACTTCTGTAGCCAAAGCTGCCCTGGGGCACACTGACAGAAGTGAGGCAACCAGTCTGTGCCATCGATCCCTCTGACCACTACCAACCATTCAGACTCATTCTGGGCAATGTGGGTGAAGTGTCTTGCCTGAG